TGCTTACAAGCACTTCTATTTACTGAGGTGATATTATGTCCTTCTGGAGTCTTTGAAAGAGATCCCCGAGCCTTTAAAAAATTTTATCTTGGGGCTGGAGAGATGGCTCAGAAGTTAAGAGCACTGGTTGCTCTTCCAGAGGTCCTGAGTTCAATTCCCAGCAACCATATGGTGACTTACAACCATCCATAATGAGTCTGGTGCCCTCTTCTGGCCTGCAGGCAGAACACTGTATACATAATAAATAAATAAACTTTAAAAAAAATTTATTTATATGATTTATTATATGATTAGTGATGTTGAGTATCTTTGGGGTTCTTATTGTCTATCCGTTTTGTTTTGTTTAGAAACGTATATTCAGATTATTTGCTTCCCTTGGTTCTATCTTAAGTTAGGAACCCCTTACCCCTTGACATCCTCATCCTCATCTTGCCTCCTCAGAGATCCAGTGTAAACCTTTCTGACAGTTGGGTGGGTATCTGTGTTGTTTGGTGGTTGGTTAGTTTTGTTAGCACAGTCTCCCTTCATAGGCTGTGCTGCTGTCAAGCTCACTATTTTCTTCCCTGCATCTCCTCGGTACTCCAGATTCTGAGACCATGGTTTCTAACACTGATCCGGCCTGCTTTTGTGATGCTGGTTGCTATGGCTGTAGCATGCCAAGGGCATAGATTTTGTTTTGTTTTTGTTTGGTGGGAGTGGGTGTTAGAACTGAAGCAACTGGAACTTGAAAACATGCACCCATATCTTACACCATCTGTGGTTTCTTGAGCCAAGCCTTTTTCTTTTTCTTTTCCTTTTTTTTTTTTTTTTTTTTTTTTTTTTTTTTTTTTTTGTGGGGGTGGGCTCGAGACAGGGTTTCTCTGTAGCATTTGGGCCTGTCCTGGAACTTGTAGACCAGGCTGGCCTCAAACTCACAGAGATCCATCTGCCTCTGCCTCCTGAGTGCTGGGATTAAAGGCATGTGCCATCACCATCCGGCTAGTTTCCTTTTTCTATAAAACAAAGATATCAATATTATCAGTACTTCCTTGTAACATTGCAGGTACTTAAATGAGTTCTATCTGAAATGCTCACACAGGACTGACACCTACTGAGCACTGCATAGATATTTACAGTTATCCTCTCTCCTGCCAGTGGGAGACTATAGGAATTGCTTTTCTGCTGTAAGCAGAAAGAAAACAAGAAATATTTAAAACCCTAGCTTCCCACATTTGCATCAGGCACCATGGGACTGTTATCTCTGAGAAATGGGATGAAGCAAGCTAGTTTCTGCTATGGCCTGGGCTCTGCCTAGCATCAAATCAGCTTGGCAGCCTCACTGGATAAAGACAGATCAAAGTCTGCCTCAGACCTGAAGAGAAGGTGCACAACTTGACAGCAGAGAGCCATGTGGAGGTCCCAGTTTTCTGTGTAATAGATCTACACAAGTATGAGATGAAATTCCTTGGGGCCCAAAAATAATCCTTCAGAAAATAATTGGCAAGTAATTTTCAGAAATCACAATTTTAGAAAAAAGAAATGTTTTGTTTTGTTTTGTTTTTTCTTCCCCGAGACAGGGTTTCTCTATGTAACAACCCTGGCAGTCCTGGAACTCACTTTGTAAGACTGGCTTTTGTCTTAACCTCTGAGCCAGCACTTGGAAAGGTGAGGTAGGATTACAAATGGAGGCCAACCTGGACTGTGTACTAACACCTTCTTCCCTAGAAAAAGAAAAGAGCCACACACGAAAGTGTAGCATTTTCCCTCCTGAGTATTCTACCTGACTCGGACTGTTTGTTTAATATGTTTATTGGTATTTTGCCTGTGTTTTCTTAAAATTATAATCAAAATCAGACTTTTGATAAAGAAAATCTAGAAAGGTAGGAGTGGGTACTTATTACACATTTTATGTATAAGAATGGCAGCCAATTTATCAGAAACCGTATAGGCCAGAAAACAATGTAATAACATCTTAAAGTGTTGAAAACAAACAAGTCCATAATTAACACTCAAAATATTTTTCAAATATGAGAAAAGAATGTTTTCAGACAGGTTAAGATATCTAGTTGCTGTGCAGTGTGCTGTTCCATTGCAGTGTACTCAGCAAGCTCTTTATTCTGGAAAGAAGGGAAGAAAGAAAAAGCAAGCTGTAAGAGAATAGAGGGATGCCCAAATCCTATACGGTAGAAGTACCAAGTCCCGAAATTGTCATCTGACCTTCACACACATGCCTTAGCGTACATGCCCTCAGAGGTACACAAATAAAGAGTTTCAAAAGAGGGCGGGGGGGGGGGGGGGGGGGGGGAGGGGGGGGGGGGGGGGGGGGGGGGGGGGGGGGGGGGGGGGGGGGGGCTGGACAGATGGCTCAGAGGTTAAGAGCACTGACTGCTCTTCCAGAGGTCCTGAGTTCAATTCCCAGCAACCACATGGTGGCTCACAGCCATCTATAATGAGATCTGGTGCCCTCTTCTGGCATGAAAGCATACATGGAAGGAATGTTGTATACATGATAAATAAATAAATCTTTAAAGAGAAAGAGAATTCTCCAGGAGGTGGTAGTGCACATCTTTAATCCCAGCAGAGGCAGGTGGATCTCTTTGAGTTCGAGGCCTGCCTGGTCTACAGAGCTAGTTCCAGGACTAGTTCCAGGAGCTAGTTCCATAGCAACTGAGAAACCCTGCCTATAAACAAAAACAAACAAAAAGGAAGAAAGAGAGAGAAGGAGAATCATTACCATAACTGCTGTAATAAATTACAAGTATTCAGACAACAAAAGGTGGTATGATGGGGGCTGGAGAAGTGACTCAGCAGTTTCAGAGCACTGCTCTTCCAGAGGACTTGGGTTCAAGTCCCAGCACCCACATGGCTATTCACATATAACAAGCAGGCAAACACCAATGCACATAAAATAGGATTACCTAAATGTATACAAAAATTTTAAAGTAGTATGATACTGATGATTGAGGTTCACACAAAGAAATGAAAAATATTCTTTTTAATATATAAAACACTTCCCCCCCCACACTCATTTTTAATCAATTTTTCAAAATAATCGCTAGGCAAAATACAGTGTTGCACACCTGTAATCACAGTCTAGGAATCAGCCAGGAGGATCGTGTTGGGAGCCAGCCTGAGCTATGTTTGAGGAGTGCCTCTCAAAACTAATTAGAGAAGTGGCAAGATGACTCCGTGAGCAGAGGCCCCAGGACCCACATGGCAGAAGGAAAGGACTGACTCCTGCTGGTCGTTCTACTTTTCTATGCATGAGAGCACACATGCACACAATAAATAAACGTAATTTAAATAGAAAACACAACACACATTCGGTGTATTTAGGAGATTTTAACTTTAAAACAAATTGTGTACAGGCTCGAGAAAGATGGCTTAATGGTTAAGAGAACCGATTGCCCTTCCCAAGGAGCCAGGTTCGATTCCCAGCACCCATACAACAGCTCACAACTATCTCCAGCTCCAGTTCCAAGGGGATCAAATAAAAATAGTGTCCCGGGAGCCAAGTTCCAGGACACCCAAGGCTACACAGAGAAACCCTGTCTCAAAAAGAAAAATGAATAAATAAAAATGAAATAGTATAAAGAAAAAAAGAAAATGTGTGACAAGTAGTAGCTCAGAGTTGTATAAGGGTGTGTGTGTGTAAAAGCACTACATCATATATAAAGTGGTGTGATAATAGTTGAAGATAGGCTATGATAAGTTAAAGATTGGTGCTATTAACACTAGAGCCATTACTTAAAGTGGCAGCTGCGGGGCGTTGGAGAGATGGCTTATTGGCCTGAGAGTGTTTCTGCTCTTGGAAAGGTGTTTCCTTCTCAGCATCCACATCAGGCTCTTCCTAGCCCAGGGATCTGATGCCCTCTTCTGGGCATGGCAGGCACCTGTACACATACAGCATTCATTCAGACACAGGTGAAGTTGTCTTTTTTTAAATCTACTTTAAATCTGGCAGTAGGCCCCTGTAATTTTATACTCAGGAGAAGAAAGCAGAAGTGTTCAGAGTTAAGGGCTGACTTTGGCTACATAGCAAGTCTGAGATCCATTCTATCTCAGGAAACCTACTTTATTTACACCAGGCAGAGTCTAAAACCAATCTGGACTACAACCTGAGCTCAAATCCAGTCTCCACTCTATAGCACAATCCTGGCTAAGACAAAACAAAGTCTTAAGTGGTGCCCAGTACAGTGACTTTATCCTGTATACATCTGTTTATATGAAATTCATTAAGGAAAAGTTCAGTACTGGGCATGGTGGCACACACCTTTAATCCCAGCACTTGGGAAGCAGATGCAGGAAGATCTCTGAGAGTTCGAGGTCAGCCTGGTCTACAAAGCGAGTTCCAGGACGGACTCCATAGCTACTGTGAAACCCTGTCTCAAAAGAACAAAAACAAGCAACAAAAAATTCAGTATTGGGCTGGATAGATGGCTCAGTGGTTAAGAGCATTGCCTGCTCTTCCAAAGGTCCTGAGTTCAATTCCCGGCAACCACGTGGTGGCTCACAACCATCTGTAATGAGGTCTGGCTTGCACACATATACACAGACAGAATATTGTATACATAATAAATAAATATTTTTAAAAAATTCAGTATTATAAGATTGAGTAGGACTAGGGATGTCACTGTGTTGGTAGTGTTGGCCTGGGTGTGGCGGATGTGGTCAGTCATTTCTGTAACATTTGCCTTTGTCAGGTAGAGGCAGGAGATCAGTGTCTGCAGCTACTTTAGCTACATGAGACCTCATCCAACAATTAGAACAGTGGTGGCCAAGATTGAAAGAAAGTTATGAAGAACGAAGTTTGTAGAGGAAACAGTGATCTGCTTTAGATTGTTGATTTATGTTTTTTATGAAATGTTACACAGTAGAACAGATTGTAATTTTTAGTTTTTTACGTTAGCTGTTGCTTTCTTTGGCCATGCGAAAAGAAAAGTGGCCTTTAAGGTTCTGAAACTTCCACTCACTGAAGAAGATCCATCTATGACCCTATAAAATAAGTAATTAATTTCTGTTTCAGAGACCGAAGAAATAGGCGATGAAGAAGTTTTCTCCTGGCTGAAGTGTGCCAAGGGGCAGTCCCACGAACCAGAAAACCTCATGCCTACACAGATCATCCCTGGCACAGGTAAGTAATTCTGTTTTGAGATTGGCTTAAAAAGTGCTATGTGCTTATTTGTTTTGGTTTTGTAGTGATGAGTATTGAACTCTTGGTCTTTTACACGATAGATCAACACTTTACCACAGAGCTCTATCCCTGGCCTCAGTGTGATTTAGTCCCTCTGTGTGTGTGTTTGAGACAGGGTCTCACTGTGTAACCCTGGCTGGCCTGAACCTTGATGTGTAAAATAGGCAGGCCTCAACTCACAGAAAACTATTTGGCTCCTTGTTTTGTTTTAGTATTTTAAAATTTTTTTGTCTACTTACTGTATGTGTGTGTGCATGTGTGTCTGCATATACATTTGCCTCCTGCTTGGTTCCCATAGAATAGGGCATCAGATCCCCTAGACCTGGAATTACAAAGGGTGTGAGTCACTGTGTAGATGCTGGGAATTGAACCTTGTACTCTGTAAAAAGCACCCAGTGCTTTTAACCTCTGGGCTATCTCTTCAGCCCCATTGTTTTAGCATTTTTTCCCTTAATTTTTTTTTTTTTAAGATTTATTTAAAGAAGGCACCAGATGTCATTGTATTTGTTTTTTTTTGTTTTTGTTTTTGTTTTTCGAGACAGGGTTTCTCTGTGGTTTTGGAGCCTGTCCTGGAACTAGCTCTTAGTAGACCAGGCTGGTCTCGAACTCACAGAGATCCGCCTGCCTCTGCCTCCCGAGTGCTGGGATTAAAGGCGTGCGCCACCACCGCCGGCCAGATGTCATTGTAGATGGTTGTGAATTATTATGGAATTGAACTCGGGACCTTTGGAAGATCAGTCAGTGGTGCTCTTAACCTCTGAACCATCTCTCCAGCCGTTTTCCTTAATTTTTCAAAGATTTATTTTTATTTCATATTATTTATGTCTTTCTGGTATGTCTGTGTGCAAGTACCCATGGAGCTCAGAAGTAGGGGAAGTAGGGTATCCGATGCCCTGGAGCTGGAGTTACCCGTAGTTTTGAACTCTCTGACCTGAGTACTGGGAACTGAACTCCAGTCCCTTAGATGAGTAGAAAGCACTGTTAACTGCTGGTTCACTCTAGCACAGACTGGCCTGGAAGTCACTATGTGAGTAAGCTTCTTGCAGTTAGGATCCTTTTGCCTCCCAGTTCTAAGTACTGGGAATACAGGAGTCTGCCACCGCCTGCTATTTTCTACAGCCTGGAATGACCCTGAGGCCACATCCCCACCTACTGAAAGTGATTTCATCTAGTGTAAGCAGGCCTTGAATTTAGGAACAGTGACTGGTTAGCTGGGCCAGAGTAAAAGGAAGCAGTAGCAGTCACTAACTCTGTTGCTACCTTTCTTATTGCTGGGACAAAATTCTGAGAAAAGTCACTTAAGGGTTGTATTCAGAGTCAGGATTCGGAAGTTAAATGCTAGTGTTTGTCTTGCTTTTCCTTTGTATTCAGTTCTGGGCCTCAAATCCTCCTGATCTCGCCACCCACACTGAGAATGGCCCTTTCTCTTCCCTTAAACCTTTCTGGAAATGTGCCTCAGCACACTCAGAGTTGTGTTACCATAGTGATTCTAAATTTGGTCAAGCTGACAATAATAATAAACCATCATACCAGACTTCTGGCTTTGGGCTTATAAAAAATTCTAGCTAAGGGCTGGAAAGAATGGTTCATTGGAAGAGAGCTTTTGCTACTCTTGCAGAATACCTAGTCCAGTTCCCAGCACCCACAGGACAACTCACAACCACCTACAACTCCAGTTCTGGGGGGGATTCAGTTCTCTCTCGTCCTTCAAGGGCAACCAGGCATGCATTTAGTATACATGCGTACATACAGACATTCAAGTAAAATAAAACCAAAACAAACAAACAAATGTATTGACCAAGCAGTGGTAGCACATGCCTTTAATCTCAGCAAAATAAATCTTTTTATAAAAAGGACAAAAAAGGCAACTGAGAACTGCCATGATGCTTCATAACTATAATCCCTGTACTCGGGAAGCAGAGGTAGGAGGGCGATTGCACTGGATTGGAGGCCACAGTAAATTCAGGTCAAATAAACAGTAATAGAAATATCCAGCTGTGGGCTGGAGAATTTAGCTCAGAACCAGGCCCCGAGCCCTGTCTCAGCTTGCAGGGGGATATCCAGCTGAGTGTAAACCTTGAGGCTATGAAGATGGTGGTCGTCTTGCAAGAAGGAGTGACTGCTTATGTTTGAGTCATAATCCCAGTTTACTGCAGCAGTTCCTCCTCAGCAGCCGAAAGCCAACCTGGGTCCACGGATGCCGTCTCAAAACAAACAAGAGCCTTAGTACGCTGTGACAGGGCAAGTGTTCAGTAGTCCTTACTGTTTCCTTCTCCCCTAGCACTGTACAATATTGGAGACATGGTACATGCTGCCCGGGGAAAGTGGGGGATTAAAGCAAACTGCCCTTGTATTAGTCGGCAAAGCAAATCTGTGTTGAGACCTGCTGTCACCAACGGAATGTCACAGGTACAGTGTGGGGCCACAACTGAGAGGGATTAGGGTCACTCTCTCTCTGTCTCTGTCTCTCTCTCTGTCTCTGTCTCTCTCTTTCGGGTTCTTTTCATAATTTTATTTAAGAATTAGTTCCAGAAGGGGCAGGACTCGGGGCCGGGGTGGTGGTCGGAAAGTGAGAGCAGGGATGGGGTGTGTGAGGTGCCATAGGGACCTGTCGCTTTATACGCCAATTAAAACGAAGTCAGTGCTTTAAGTTTAAAAGGAAAAGAAAACTTTTTAAAAATAATCCATTCTAACTACTCAGGATGCTGAGGTGACAGACAGAATTGTGAGTTTTGAAGCCTCTCTGGGCAATGTATCAAGACTACTTCTCAGGGGCAAAGTCAAAACAACAAATACAACTTACATTTTATCTCTTTTCATCCCCAAAATGGTTTCATGGAATCAACATTTATTTGTTTATTTATTTATTTACTCACTTACTTACTTATTTATTTTTGGGTGAATAATTCCTCTTTGTGTACACCTGCCAGAAGAGGGCACCAGATCCCATTATAGATAGTTGTGAGCCACCATGTGGTTGCTGGGAATTGAACTCAAAACCTCTTGAAGAGCAGTCAGCTCTTAACCAGGGAGCTATCTCTCCAGTCTCTATAGGATTAATTTTTAATCTCCGGTTTTCTGTTGTAGAAGTGGTTTAAAACATACTTTAAGTAAATTTCGAGTGTTACTGGTTTCTACAGAACCTAGTGTAAACTGCTGGCACATTGTAGACTCATTAAGAGTGGATGACATAACATTGTTTGAGACAGTTGAGGTTATTCTTCCCAGACTGGTGTAGTGTCAGAGCCATTGGTAGCCATGTTCACTTCTACCAAACCCTCCCCTCTGTAGTGCTTCTAACTGGCACTCTCACCGTTCCTGCTTCAGCTCCCCAGTATAACCCCTAGTGCCTCTTCTGGAAACGAAACTACCTTCTCGGGCGGAGGTGGAGCTGCAGCGATCACAAATCCAGAGCCAGACCAAGTCCCCAAAGGCCCCAGCACCGACAGCAGGTCTGAAGAGTCCCTAAGAGCAGAAGGCCCTGCATCAAATAGCAATAGTGAACTAAAAGCCATCAGGCCCCCGTGCCCTGACACGGCCCCTCCCTCTTCTGCCCTGCATTGGTTGGCAGATTTAGCAACTCAGAAGGCTAAAGAAGAAACAAAAGGTGAGATAAACCACCCGTGCCTTGTGGGGGGGGAAATTGGGTTATTCTGTGATTTATTTGTTTGTTTGATTTTCAAACTGACTTGTAACCATACCCCTTTAGAAAAGTGCCACTTCTTTTCTCTGGCTGATCATACAGCGTGAGTGGTTCTCTTCTGTTTGGGTCTGTTTGTTTGTTTGAAAGTAGAGGGATCCTGGGTCCTTACCTAGACCTCCTTGATCAGAATTGAGGTTTTTAGTGAACTTCTTTCCCTCCTGGTTTATTTCTACAGCCAGAATTGACAGCAAGACTTAGAAAAGCTGATTATTTTGAAGTAGGGCTCAGCTGGCCTTGAAAGGAGCAGCCTATATATTTTTTTTTTTTTTTGTTTTTTTGTTTTTGTTTTTCGAGACAGGGTGTCTCTGTGGCTTTAGAGCCTGTCCTGGAACTAGCTCTGTAGACCAGGCTGGTCTCGAACTCACAGAGATCCGCCTGCCTCTGCCTCCCAAGTGCTGGGATTAAAGGCGTGCGCCACCATCGCCCAGCTTTGTTTTGTTTTTTGAGGCAGGGTTTCTCTGTGTAGCCCTGGCTGACCATGAACTCTCCCTGTAGATCAGGCTGGCCCTACTCACAGACTTGCCAAGCAGCCTTTTTAAATGGGCTTCAGAACCACCTGGGAATTGTTTTTCAGATGCACATTCTTTCATCCCACTTGAAACCATTAAGTTTGCCGGGTGGATTTCTGTGAGTTCAAGACCAGCCTGGTCTACAAGAGCTAGTTCCAGGACAGGCTCCAAAACCACAGAGAAACCCTGTCTCGAAAAACCAAAAAAAAAAGAAAGAAACTATTAAGTTAGAATTTCTTGAGATAAGGACTGATCTCCATTTTTATTTTTTATTTTATTTTTTTATTTTTATAGTTTAAAAAGCATCACTGACAATTTCAGTTCAAGAGATCTGGAGACCATGTAAAATGTCTTAGAAGATAAAAGGTAGATGAGAAAAAGAGAATTTGTGATCCAAACAGAGAAGAAGAAAGAAGTAGAGAATTTTTCTGTATCCCTGAAACCTATATTCATAGCTTTTCATTTTGGAGGCGGGGTGGGGTGGGTGGGTATCTCTCCTAGGAGTGTTGGGAGAGTCAGTGTCTGCAGACTGTTCCTCCCTGTCTAATGCTCTCTCTCTTTATGGTCTTACAGAAGCAGGGTCCCTGAGGTCGGTGCTCAATAAAGAATCTCATTCACCCTTTGGGCTGGACTCCTTCAACTCCACCTCAAAAGTCTCTCCATTGACTCCAAAGCTTTTTAACAGTCTGTTACTGGGTCCCACTGCCTCCAACAGCAAAACTGAGGGTTCTAGCCTTCGAGACCTCCTTCACTCTGGGCCTGGAAAACTTCCTCAAGCCCCCCTGGACACAGGCATACCCTTCCCACCTGTTTTCTCTGCATCCTCAGCAGTAAGTGTCCATCTACAACCTCGCCTGGGTTTTCGCTACACTCCCATCCTCTACACATAATTGCTTTCCTAGCACTTATCATAATGTGTTCTGTTGTATTGCTCTCGCCTCTGCAAAGGCATTTTACTCACTAGTACATATCATTAGTGTCACAGTACTTGTACAATATCGTTTTTAATCGGTGCTGTGAAAAAGAGGTCTTCCTGGTTTCTGTTTCTTTTTTTTTTCCGGTCGTGTGTGTGGTGTGGGTGTGTATGTATCTGTATGCACGCGCGTGTGCAAGAGAGAGAAAGAGAAATCTGGGAGTCAGTTCTCCCATCCAGTGGGTAGTAGTAATCAGGCCACCAGACTTGACACCAAGTGTCTGTTTACCTGCTGAACTATCTGACCCACCTAGCATCAGCATTTATTTCTTGAGTGTCATTTCAGAAATGTTATATGTATATAGTTTCCTTCTGTTTTACACACGTTTGTTCTACAGTTTTCTTTTCTGCTTCTCAGTGTTTATTTATACCTTGTAGGTCATTTATTTCAAAAATATATGTTGTACTTGTGAATACCCTCATTTCCTTTTCTAATTTTTTTTTTACCAGAACATTGTATGATTATATGTTTTTAGTCGGTTTAGGCAGAGTCTCACTGTGTAGCTCTGGCTGGGAATGCTGTGTTGACAAGACTAGGCTTGAACTCACAGAGACCCACCTGCTACCACACCCTGCTGTATGATAAGTGGATAAGTGGATAGTACTTGAGACAGGATTGGATTTATAGGAGTTCTCTATTCCGTGACTTGCCCAGCTTTCCCATTAGCTGAAGTGGGAGAAATTCAAAGTAGATGGTAACAGAAGGACTGGAAAGAAAAGAGACCACTTTGGGAGTATATGGTTCTTAGATAGTGATTACTAAGGTAAATGTTCTGTGGCAGAAAACTACTGCCCTTCTGTTACCTGAGTGGGCACTCACCTGCTCCCCATCTTTCCTCCGTGTGTCCCAGAGTAAAAAAAACGAAGTCCTCAGACTTGGTGGCAAGCACCTTTACCCACCAATCTATCTCACCAGCCTAGAAAACCACTGCCTTGTTAGGTCTGCTCAGGGACAATTGCAGTATCTCCCAGGCATACCATCCAAAGAGAGATTTCCCTGAACTAACCTTTATAAAGCACTTAGTGTTTTATGAACTCTGTAGTCTACATGCATGTACTTAACACAGAGTTTAAAGCTAGAGCTATATTTCCCAGGTCTTAAGAGATCTTCCTGCCGGGCTTGGAGGTACATGCCTTTAATTCCAGCACAAGGCAGAAGCAGGTTTCCATCTTGGTCTCAGAGCGAGTTCTAGGACAGCCAGGGCTACATAGAGAAACCCTGTCTTAACAAAAACAAAAAATCTTTCTGTTCTTTCATAAATGTAAGAAAATGCTAAAGGTCAAGAACTAAAGATTAGTGACTTTATGTCTTCCCTGCAATCACAGAAGACATCTTATTAATTGGGTAGATTAAAGCCTGGAACTATAACTGTGAGACAGTCCTCTTTTTTGTTAATGTTATCATGGTGCTTGAGTCAAGCTCACCTGAGGGTTTGTCTGTGAAGGGATTGAAGAACAAAGCCAGCCTGCCCAACTTCCTCGACCACATCATCGCCTCGGTGGTGGAAAATAAGAAAACCTCAGATTCTTCAAAGCGGTCCTGCAACTTGACTGATACCCAAAAGGAAGTGAAGGAGATGGTGATGGGGTTAAATGTGCTAGACCCCCATACCTCTCATTCCTGGCTCTGTGATGGGAGACTTCTGTGTCTCCATGACCCCAGCAACAAAAACAATTGGAAGATCTTCCGAGAATGCTGGAAACAAGGCCAGGTAAGAAACACTGAGTTGATTTTATAGCCTGCTGTTTGCCTGGCAGTCACATCTGCCAGGATAATCGCAGGCCTGTCTAGAAGGTCTTCTGCCAGGAAATTATGTATATAGTAAATTCATGGAGGATATCCTTCTGTTTCTAGTTGACTTTGCTTTTCAGAATCGAGGAAAGCTGGGTGGTAGTGACAATCACCTTTAATCCAAGTGCTTGGGAGACAGAGGCTGGCGGATCTCTGAGTTCAAGGCCAGCCTGGTCTACAAACAGCAGACCAGGACAGCCAGAGCTGTTACACAGAGAAACCCTATCTCAAAAAACAAAACGGAGTCAAGGAAATCCCTAAGAATACTTTGTGCTCGGTATTTGTAAAGGGAAGTTGAGCTCCAGTGGTTGCTGACCTGCCATTAATGGTGGCACCTTTGGAGGAAAATCCCTGAGTGTAGGGCTTGGAGTGTGAAGGTAGGAGCTGAGTAGCAGGGTTCTGGGTAAGTGCTTGAGTCTTTAGTGATGTGTTTGATAATGCGATGCTGCTCCATGGCACTTAGACTTGAGCAGGTGCTGAGGAGGGAGGAGCTTATGGAGTCACCTGGTTTGCATTGTACTGTGAGGCAGTGTTCTCAAAGTTGCATTAGCCAGCAATGTCTCTTTTTTTTTTTTTAAATATTTATTTATTTATTTATTATGTATACAATATTCTGTCTGTGTGTATGTCTGCAGGCCAGAAGAGGGCACCAGACCTCATTACAGATGGTTGTGAGCCACCATGTGGTTGCCGGGAATTGAACTCAGGACCTTTGGAAGAGCAGGCAATGCTCTTAACCACTGAGCCATCTCTCCAGCCCCCCAGCAATGTCTCTTCACCTCAGAATACTGATAGACACCAAGAAAGAAAAGTTTCTTCGAAGGATGTTTCCCCAGAATGAGAGCCTAGAATAATAATAGAGACGAGACAGTTTCCCATTCTCTTTAACTAATATATGGGAATCTGTAGATTACATTCTGGAGAAAAACAATCGATGTTCATGGAGAGCAATATTTCCTAGCAGTTCTGATGGGTTATCTCTGTTTCCACAGCCAGTGCTAGTGTCAGGGGTACATAAAAAGCTCAAGTCTGAACTCTGGAAGCCAGAAGCCTTTAGCCAGGAATTTGGAGACCAGGATGTGGACTTGGTGAACTGCCGGAACTGTGCTATCATTTCTGATGTCAAAGTCCGGGATTTCTGGGATGGCTTTGAGATCATATGCAGTAAGTAACTTTGCTTTCTGGTTATGCAGTGACAACAGTAGTAAGCATCTAAATACTTGGTCCTGTACCTGAAATAACAGACTGTATCCTCTTCTTGGGAGGAGCCTTCTGTCTTCATGCCAGCTCTACACAGCTGCATGGCAGTCCTGTGGCTGCCAGAACAGGCCTGCAGTTCAGGGAGCTCTGTTGCACTGAGGAGGGGAGCAGGAGTCCTATAAAATGGAGAGATAGTGCACGTACTACTACAGGAAGTGGAGAAACAGAGTGTCTCCAGAGACTTGGTCCTGCGAAGAGTAGCAGTAGGGGTGTATGAGAATGTTGTCTGTCTTCTAGAGAGACTGAGGTCAGAAGATGGGCAGCCAATGGTGCTCAAACTCAAAGACTGGCCCCCTGGGGAAGATTTTCGGGACATGATGCCAACAAGGTTAGTGACTTCAGGGAATGTTGTCTTCAGAGGCTTATGCCTGGCTGAAACCAACACAGCAGAATCACAGAGAAGTGAATGCTCTTTGTCTTCCTTCCTGCCCTTTCTTAGGTTTGAGGATCTGATGGAGAATCTTCCTCTGCCAGAATATACCAAACGGGATGGCAGGCTCAATCTCGCTTCTAGGCTACCCAGCTACTTTGTAAGGCCTGACCTGGGCCCCAAGATGTACAACGCCTATGGTATGAGGGAGAGGACAGAATTAACCCTTTGGGGACTGCTGTTCTCATTTCATACACAGACACGATAGGGAGCATCATACCTGGGGTAGTTGTAAATGTTTCCTTTGTCAGTACTGATTGCTGTAACATTCATAAGCTTGCATATCTGTTAGAAACAGTTTCTTCTCACCAGGTGGTGGTGGTGCATACCTTTAATCCCAGACAGGCAGATCTCTGTGAGTTCCAGGACAGCCAGGACTATACAGAGAAACCCTGTCTTGAAAAACAAAAACTCAAAAATTCTACTCCAGCAGACATATCCTTAGTTTTATTCTTTAGTTTTACTAAAACTAAAGAATGCCAGCTACCTTGCTGTCATACCTGTATTCTATTAAGTTCAAAAATGACCTAAAATAAAATACTGTGAAAATTGAGTTCCGTCTGAATATCCCTAATGCCTGCATGTTTTGAATTTCAAGAAAGGGACCATTTTCAAAAGTGGCTTGGTTTCATGATGGATGTTGATGCTATATGGACCAAGCTAGAAATTAGTGTTAACCTGTATAAAAGATAAAGAAGAGTGTTTTAGCTGATGCTCATTCCTCCCCTCTCACCTCCCTGCCTGACTCTACTCCTCTGTGTGCTAGAGATGTAACCTAGGGCCTGAGCACATCAGTCAGCACTCTACTGCTGGACTGCCTCTCCCCCGGGGCATCTCTTTAAGGACTTTCTAGAGCACATTTTCAGGCTTGACATGAGTCCTTTGTAATAGCACCTGTTCATCTGTTCATCTTTCCTATTTTCCTCCCACCTTTAGGCTTGATAACAGCAGAAGACAGAAGAGTTGGCACAACAAACCTTCATTTAGATGTGTCTGATGCTGTTAATGTGATGGTGTATGTTGGGATCCCTGTCGGGGAGGGTGCCCATGATGAAGGTAGGATTTCTAGAAAAATTGCTTTAATGTGGTTTCCCCTAAGAAGTAGAGTAACCAATGCAAGTTTCTTCCAGGCTTAGTGTGTACCTGGTGGATATTGTTAGACCACAGGAAATTCTAGCAGAGTGCTGCTTGGAAACTTTTGACTGGGTTCTTGCCTTTCAGGGAATGTTCAAATATGAAGTCTGGCAAAGAAAGGACAGAGAGGACTGGGGCCTTGGCACATTGCTTAAAAGTACAGTGCCCCTTGAATTTGGTGCCCAGCACCCACAAGAGGCTCACAACCTTCTGTAATTCCAACTCCAAGGAATTTGATGCCCTCTGGCACCTGCTCAATATTAAAAAAATAAGAAGGGCTGGGGAGTTGGCTCAGTGGTTAAGAGCACTCACTACTCTTCCACAGGTCCTGAGTTCAATTCCCAGCAACCACATGTTCGTTTACAACCATCTGTAATGAGATCTGGTGCCCTCTTCTGGTGTGCAGGCATATATGGAGGCAGAATGTTGTAAACATAATAAATAAATAAATCTTTAAAAAAAAATAAGAAGAAAGAACTTCTGGATAGTGGTGGTGTACTCTGTTAGGCCCAGCACTTGGGAGGCAGAGGCACATGGGTCTCTGTAAGTTTAAGGCCAGACTGATCTACCAAGTGAGTTCCAGGACAGTCAGGACAGCTACACAGAGAAAACTGTCTCAAAAAGTGAAGGGATAAAAAGACAGGACTGACCCATCTGCTTGACTCATTAACCATATCAACTATAGAATGATAAATGGCAGAGCCAGGTCGTGTGCACAAAGATGAAACATAAAGGTTGAGTTGGTAAAGTGTCAACAGCATGATGACCAGAGTTTGGTTTCCATAAGAAGCTGGGAGTGATCATGCACACCTTTAGTCCCAACACTTGGGAGGAAGAGGCAGGTGGATCTCTAAGAGTGTAAGGCCAGCCTGGTCTACATAGTGAATTCTGGGCCAGCCTAGGGTACAATGAGACCCTGTTGTTCTTCCCTTCCCCCACACGGGTCACTGACATGATGGCAAGAGCCTTTACCTGCTAGACCATCTCATCAGCCCCATATGAGTTTTGATTCTTTTTTTTTTTTTTTAAAAAAAAAAAAAAACAGGATCTATGTAGAACTCCATATGTAGTCCAGGTTGGCTTTAAACTCATGGAGATCCACTTGCCTCTGCCTCAAGTGCTGGGATTAAAGGCATGCACCACCACTGCTTAGTAAGCTTTGATTCTTGAGATATTACTTAGAGAAGAACAGAGACCAAACTTGTTCTGGTTGGACATTTTCCCCTAAAGGTTACTTTGTCATCACCACTTTGTTCTTTTCAGAAGTCCTCAAAACAATTGATGAGGGTGATGCTGATGAGGTGACCAAGCAGAGGATTCATGACGGAAAAGAGAAGCCGGGAGCCTTATGGCACATCTATGCAGCCAAGGATGCAGAGAAGATCCGAGAGCTCCTCAGGAAGGTATGCCTCCAGCGGGGCGATACCCTCAGCTCCAGGCTGTGGTCTAGACAGCTACCAAGGCCTCTGCTGTGAAGTCCCTTGGTAGTAAAGACCTATTTGTACAAGGCATGGTAGGGCACACCTGTAGCACTTGAGTGCTGGTGTCAGGAAGATCACAGAGGCCGACCTCGACTACCTGGAGAGACCCTCTCTCAAAAAAAAGAAAAAGAAAAGCAAGAACTTGAGGCTGGTGGGCTGACTCGGCAGTTGAGTCACATGTTGTTCTTGCTGAGGACCCAGGTTCAGTGCCCAGCATCCACATAGATGTCCATGGTCCTTGGAAATCATCTGAACTCTTTGGGCACAAAGCACACATGTGGTAAACAGATTTAGATCATACATGCAAGCAAAACACTGATACACATAAAATAAAAATAAGTCTTTTTAAAGGGGGGAGGGGGGAAATGATGCCTCAGTAGTTAAGAGCACTATTCTTCCAGAGGTCCTGAGTTCAATTCCCAGCAACCACATAGAGACTCACAACCATCTGTAATGAAATTCAATGTCCTCTTCTGGCATGAAGCAGTATATGCTCAAGTAAAGCACTCATATACATAAAATACATAAATTTGACTAGACCTGGTGGTGCATGTCTTTAATCCCAGCACTCAGGAGGAAAAGACAGGCAGATCTCTGAGCATTCAGGACAACCTGGTCTACAGAGCAAGTTCCAGGCCAGCCATGGCTACAGAGAAACCCTGTCTCAAAAACGAATAAATAATAAACAAAAGCTGGGTTTGGAGTTTGGTGTTAGAATGCTTATCTAGTGTGCATAAGGTTCTGTGTTCCATCTTCAGCACTGCAGGGAAGCAAAGAAAGGGGACCTATTGATCGAGAAACCTTTCAGAATGCGCAAGGGGCCTGAGCTCACACTAGAACATGTTCAACAGAATAAAGAAGATAGTGTTCTTTGTGTGCTTAACGGATAGTACATTCCTAGGAGGTTCCCTACATCTTTTTCCCCCTATATATGCATACTGGTAATAAATGTTGAGGTAATAAGAAGCTTCTTTTTTGTTGTTCATTTTCAAGACAGGGTTTCTCTGTGTAGCCCTGGCTGTCCTGGAAGTCACTCTGTAGACCAGACTGTGTTGGAACTCAAAGTTTCACCAGCCTCTGCCTCCCTCCTGAGTGCTGGGATTAAAAGCATGCTAAAGAGTACTTGAACACGTGTTCTCTGAAACGTCCATAGCCACCTGAACTGGAACAGGACCTAGACACACAGCTACCCTCGATGAGGATACAACATGTCTAGTGTGAGGTGGTGCTGGGCAGTGAGGGAGTCTTTCGTGTCACCATAATAACACAATTTTTAAACCTGCAAATCCTTTTTGGATTTTCCATGTGTTTTTAGAGCACAGTTGGCTGTGGGTAAATGAAACTGTTGAAACCGTGGGCAAGGAAGGGCTACTTTATTAATTCTTCCCTTTTTTGGATTTTGATTATAACTTCAGGTTGGAGAAGAGCAAGGCCAAGAGAATCCTCCTGATCATGACCCAATTCATGACCAAAGTTGGTATCTGGACCAGATCCTCCGGAAGCGACTCTTTGAGGAGTATGGTGTGCAAGGCTGGGCCATCGTGCAGTTCCTGGGTGATGCTGTCTTCATACCTGCTGGAGCCCCGCACCAGGTGAGTTGCACAATGGAGACCGGCTCCACAGCCCCATGGCTTGTCTCTTGAGTTTAGTTTTCAGTGGCAGGGTCAGACTGGGTGCTCTAATACCATGGCTTGTTAGTTTTTAACTTTATTCCTTATAACTTTAAATGCTTGGTTTTTGTTTGTTTGTTTTATGGTAGTTGTTTTCTGTTTTGTTGTTGCTGTTTCTGTTTTCTTTGGTTGGTTTTTTTATTGGGGGGGTTGTTTTTTTAGCCAGGAAGCCCTCAAACTCACAGAGATCTTTGTCTCCCAAGTACTAGGATTAAGGGTGTGCACCACCACTCCTAGCCCTAAACTTTTTGTTTTGTTTTCAAGACAGGGTCTCACTTTGTAGCCCTGGATGCCTGGAACTTCCACTGTAGACCAGGCTGGTCTCAAACTCACAGAGATCCTCCTGCCTTCCTCCCGAGGTGCTGGGATTAAAGGCGTGTGCTGCCACAGCCCACTGGCATTTTCGTATGAGTTACTGAATCTCTGAGGTCTACATTCTCCTGCTATACTTGCCTCCTCCCAGGTTCACAATCTGTATAGCTGCATTAAAGTCGCAGAAGACTTCGTATCCCCAGAGCACGTGAAGCACTGTTTCCGCCTAACACAAGAGTTCAGGCATCTCTCCAACACCCATACGAATCATGAGGATAAACTACAGGTAAATGGGGTCCCTCCTTCACTCACACTGTCTTCCTATCTAATGCTCACAGACACACAAAGACACATTCTCCTCATGGCTGTTTTTTGGTAGAGAAGTGACTGGGAAACAGCAGATACCTAACCATTTCAGTTGGGTTTTTGAGTTTCGATTATTGATTTGTTTTTGGACCGCTGTCTCAAGTAGCCCAGGCTGACCTTGAACTCCTGATCCTCCTATTTCCAGCTCCTTTACAGGAATTTATTATCCACTCATCTTAATGTATGCCTATAGCCCAGCTGAAGCAGTACAGTTATCACAAATTCCAGGCTGACCTGAACTCCTGAGTAAGCCCTGTGTTGTGTGTGTATGGAGGGGTCTTTTAATCTACCCATTTCCTATGTAATGATTCCCTAGTTCTCAGACCTTGGGAGTTCTAGTGTTGATAACTGAGTAGGCTTGCATCCCTGCTCGGGGATATAAGAGAATACTGTGGGAGGGAGGGTCCTGTTCCTTCGTACATTGTTCACAGTGCTGGGAACTGAATGTGCACAGGCTGTGCACCCGTTGGCAGGTCCTCTACTGCTCAAGACAGGTTCTTACTAAGTTGTTCAAGCTGGCCTTGAACTCTCTGTAGCCCAAGCTAGCTTAGAACTTATCATCCTCCTGCCTCATGCTCAAGAGTAGCTAGAATTATAAGCCTATGACAACAGGCCCAACTTAGTCAAAAAGTGGGACTCATCATTCATCACAATAGAAGGCGCCACAGGTAGCAAGCCTGCACTTGTTCCGGGACCACAGCTGGTGACATATTTGTCCCGACAGCCTTCGGGGATAAGTAGCTTCTCAACTACCACGTCCTCAGATTCATCTGCATTAAACTTGGAGGAGCCACACTTTGACAAGTGGGCCTTCTGGTGGTCAGAGAACTTGAACTTGGCCACGTACAGGGCCTCAATCACATGTCCCTTATTCTACAAATCAGAGCAGATGGACATTCTTACATTATATATACTCATATTAATAGAAGCAATATAAATGTACCGATTTCATACCCCACCTCTTCCAGGTTTCAACTGGTAGACTGTCTTTTTACTCTTAATGCCTTTTTTGGTTTTTTGAGGCAGGGTTTCTCTGTAGCTTTGGAGCCTGTCCTGGAACTAGCTCCTGTAGACCAGTCTGGCCTCGAACTCACAGAAATCCGCCTGCCTCTGCCTCCTGAGTGCTGGGATTAAAAGTGACCATCACCCAGTTGCCTTTTTTAAAAAATTATGTATCTGTTCGTGTGTGTGTGTGTGTGTGTGTGTGTGTGTGTGTGCAGTCTCAGTAGAGACCAGAAGAAGGCATTGTGGGGGCAGTGGGGTGAGGTGGGTTGCTGGGGGACTGGAGAGATGGCTAAGCTTTTCCAGAGGTCCTGAGTTCAATTCCCAGCAACCACATGGTAGATCACAACTGTCTATAGTGGGATCTTGTACCCTCTTCTGGCATAAAGTTGTATATGCAGATAGAGCACTCATATACATTAAATAAATAAATAAGGCTTTGATTGTTTGTTTTCGAGACAGGGTTTCTCTGTGTAACAGCCCTGGCTGTCCTAGAACTAGCTCTTGTAGACCAGGTTGGCCTCGAACTCACAGAGATCTGCCTGCCTCTGCCTCCTAGTGCTGGGAATAAAGGTGTGCGCCACCACTACCCAGCATTTTTTTTTCCACAGGAAGGAAAAGGCATTGGATCCTCTGGAGCCAAAGTTCAGGACAGTAACTCTAGTACTAAGAGTGTTCTAGGAGAACAGAATGTACCCTTAACCACTGAGCCAATTCTTCAGCCTCCTTTCAACCTTTTTTTTAATAGCATCTGGGGCTACAGAGATGGCTCAGAGGTTAAGAACACATGCTAGCCAGGCATGGTGGCACATGCCTTTAATCCCAGCACTTAGGAGTCAGAGGCAGGGGGCTGGAGAGATGGCTCAGTGGTTAAGAGCATTGCCTGCTCTTCCAAAGGTCCTGAGTTCAATTCCCGGCAACCACATGGTGGCTCACAACCATCTGTAATGAGGTCTGGTGCCCTCTTCTGGCCTGCAGTCATACACACAGACAGAATATTGTATATGTAATAAATAAATATTTAAAAAAAAAAAAAAAAAGGAGTCAGAGGCAGGCGGGGTGTCTCATTTGAGTCAGCCTGATTGACTGAACAAGTTTCAGGACAGCCGAGGCTGTTTTACATAAATCCTGTCTCAAAAAAACCACATGCTGCTGATGCAGAGAACCTGGGTTTGGTTCCCAAGGCTCACATCTGCCTGTACCTCCAGTTCCAGGGGATTTGATACTTTCCCCTAGTATCTGCAAGCACTGGCCTATGTAATGGTATACATGCAGACACACAATACAATACAATAAAAGTAAATAACAAAAAAATAAAAAAAATAAAAATAAAAAAAGTAAATAACAGCACTGGGGTCAACATGATGGCTTAGCAAGCAAAAGCAGCTGTTACCAAGCCTCATAACCTGGATCTGATTCCAAGACCCATGTGCTAAAGGAGAGAACTCCCACCTATGGTGCTCAGTGTGTACACACATGTAAATGTAAGTCCAAAAATAATACGATAGCAGCGTCAACCCTGCTGACACTTTCAGGTCCCATCCATCTGACATAACTATTCTTTAACTTGTTCATTGCTAGTTTGCTAAATTGTAAAACTTAATTAGCTTTGTGAAGGCAGAAATTTGTTTAATTGACAACTTTCCCTGGCACAAATCTAAAGCACAGCTCACAGTGCATTTTTGTTAAGTAATAGAAAAGAACCAGTCGAGGCCCAGGGCATCTTGTATGCCCATCACAGAGCCTCCTATTTTTGTGAAGTAAGATGTCATACATATACATGAAATACACGTATGTACATCGACAACATTGTAAAGTACCAGTGTGTCCTTCCTTTTTTGTCTTACCTCACTTTTCTACCCTAGAAAAATTAATCATCTTGTCAGTTCTTTAAAGTTTTTAGCCTGTCAATTTATTTTAATAACTTTAATTAAATCTTCCAATGTCACATGTAAAATATGTGTCTTAGACAAATTGTGTGCACATACGCTCTAGACCTGCTGTCACATTCTTGTAATCCCATTACTTGTGAATCTAAATCAGGAAAATGAAGTTAGAGGCCAGCCTTGGCTAAATAGTAAGACCCTGTCTCAAGGGAGGAGGGGAACTGGCAGGGTGGCTCGGTGGGTGAAGGCATTTGAGTCTAATTGCTGAGCCCACAAGGTGGAAGGAGAACCAACCTTCATGCAATAGGAAAAACAGCCCATTGCCTGCCTACCCACTCCCACTGTTCATTGCTGTGGGGTCTTGGGCAAGGGTATTTTGGACAGTCTTTATTCCAGGTTGACCTCAACCATTGGAATTATAGACATGTGCCTCTGTGCCCAGTTTCAGTTCCCTGGAACTTGATTTTCTCAGTGTCTTTAAACAAGGCTTATGATAAAATAATTGAACTTCATAGGCTCATGACATAGATTAACTAGACGTCCACATAACAGCTTAGTGACTGTCCAACACCTAGTGAGAACAGGAGTGATGGTAGCTATACACATTCTTTCTTGAGTGTGGACCTCATATCCTGTATGACTGGTAACTCATCGTGGGGCTTGATTTGGGAAGCACACAGCTGGGGCGTGCTCATGGGCTTTTCAGTAAGTTTGTCAGGGTAGGATATAGACTGCATTTGTGAGCTGCCCTGAACTGACAGTGCTGGTTCTTCTCCAGGTGAAGAACATCATATACCACGCAGTGAAAGATGCTGTTGGCACTCTCAAGGCCCACGAATCCAAACTGGCAAGGTCTTAAGGCATGGGGAACTTCCAGCTCTCCTGTGAAGCAGGCCTTTCACAACACTTACCAGGGAACGGCAGGGCTCTCTGCAGGAGCAGAGGCCCTTCCCCAAGCCAGTGTGGTCAGTATTACAAACTCTCCAGCCGCTCTTTCTATGCTGCCTCAACACTGAAGGTTGACACAAGAAAATGGCACTGTTCACACACACAGTTTCAGACTCGAAGCTGAGGGTGCCACACTCCATCCAGTGGCCTTTGGGAATCCAGGTTGCTTGAACATCGCTGGGCTTTCCTGCACATCTCTGGGTTTGAGACCATGGAAACCAGGAATGTGGGCACACCTTCCTTCTCTGTTCCTCTTGTGCCTAGCTCAGTGGGACTGTGTTTGGAGGCGGAGGAAGTCATAACTGGTAAAGTAAGGAGATACAATGTGCCTGGTGGAAGCCCGGCCATGTCTCTGCACATGACTTCTGACCTGGCCTGTCCCAGGAGATGGGGTGCAGCCATTCCCCATACTCTCTGTGAATATGGAGTCTTCAAGACCCAGGGAGAGCCTACAACTTCCCAGGAGGCTTCAGGATTAGGAACCGTGTGTATTTAGTGAGAACTAGGTTTGTAGTGAAATAGTTACTATTTCATGAAAGTAGATATTTTTAGAACTTTTGAAATAACACAGTTGTTTTCCTGGACTACAAGGAAAGGCACATTACTTTAGTCTTCCTTTCAATAAAACTCTTTGAAAGATATGATTTTTAGAAATCAGCTGTCCCTTATAGCACAAAATCAGCCAAAGCGTAATTTAAAAGAATTGGCATTTTACTATAATCCTTTAGTTTCTCCCTCCCTCTCAGTCTTATCTCGAGGGAACAGTTGTCTGAGGAAGAACTGTGTCATGTCTGAGCTGTGGAGCGTTCCCTGCGTGCACACCGCTGACTCCGGGATCTGTTTGCCGACTACCAGCGTTCCCTTGGGACTCTGCATATGTTTCCAAATGGGGTGGAAAGTTTGGTTTCCAATATAAGAGTTTTTTGTTTTTTAGAGTTTTGTCTGGAATTATTTTCAGCAAAACTTTACAACTCAGTGGAGTTTTTATTAAGAATTTACTTGGAAATGATGGAATTCACTGGCCCATAGGTACACTGGGAAATGTATCTCTTCCCAGGTGTACTGCCCTGCAGCCTTGTTTATATGTTCACAGTTACCTTTTTTTTTTTTTTTAAATAAAAGTCATTTACTGTAGAATACTTTTAATTTCACTTTCTGTACTTTAATTTTATTGAAGGGCTGATTGGGATTTCCATGTTCTTATTAAAAAAAATCTAACAAATCTGTTTGGAGCAGACAAAATTCTTTCTGTGCCAACTTTTCTAAAGTCAAGACTACACTGTGGGCTGTCAGAGGTGCGGCTGGTTTCGGGGGCCTCCTGCTGCCCTGCACCTAATGATCTGATCACTCTTTGCTGTTGAGTTGTGCTTAGTTGAGAGAAAGAACGTGCCCAGTGAGAGACTAGGCGAAGAACCCCCTGAGGTGGCTGGTGGAGTTTATGCTCAGTGAACAAAAAGGGCTAAGTGGGGTCCTCCTTCCTTTAGGGTGCAGGATGCGAGAACAGTGCCCTAATGTACAGCCTGCGCACAGCACAGCTCCAGGCAAGGCTGTGAGGTCAACCGACCACATACCATAAAGTGTGCGGCTCTGCAGAGGACCCAAGTGGGGTTGTTTATTAAGCAAAATTAAAACTTCTTGCTGGGTAAAGACAGACTACATTCTAGTTAAAAGAGGTCTTTTGGGAAGGAAGTTATGTAGAAAAGCAAGAGGCCTCATCAGAGGCCTGCTTCTCTGAAACCTATTCTTCTGAAACTTGCTTTTCTGAAAACACCTTCCAGAGCATTTGGGCCTAGAAACATAATTATCAAGCTAGAAATAGACTATTTGTGCTTTTCAAGGCTTCTAGGTTTGAATATGAGTCTTTGAAATACACAACTCTGAGCATGCCCTTACAGCCTGGTTGGACATTTTAATAGTGTGGTCCACCCGAAGGATTATACCTCAACACAAAGCTGCAGGATGTAGCAGCTGTAAAGTGGGGCGGGGAAGGAGGGCGGGGGGGGGGGGGGGGGGGGGGGGGGGGGGGGGGGGGGGGGGGGGGGGGGGGGGGGGGGCTGGTTTGGTGAAAATCAGGAGGCGAGCTAGCCTACATTCCGGATATAAATGTCTTCAGAAATAGGACATCCACTACCAATTGTACTTTCTGACTTAAGAATCATTCCTCTCTCTCCTGTCCCCTCCCCGTGAAATTAAATTTCACATATCCCTAATCCTAGCACAATTTACTACCCAAAAGTCCCATCAAACCATGTGAACAAATTCCCTTTTACCTGGAAATTGGCGGTTATTGATGAGGACTGGAGTGGACAGGTGCAGCTACGCCTGGCCCGGGAGCCCAGGTGGACGTCCTGGAGCCTGCAGTGGAGGAGGAGAGTTCGATGGTTGGTGTTTGGAGCGTGTAGCCTTTAAAATAAGCTTGGCTTTATACCGTAACAAGTATGACTTAGTGGTTTTGTGACCCTTGGCATAGCAGTGGAAACCAATAACATCCACCTTCAAGATGAGGATTAACTATAACTTCTGCCTTATAGGGTAGTTGTGAGGATTCAATGGAATAACACACAAAGCTAAGCACAGGGCCTGCCAGTTAAACACTAAAGCAGCTGTTGCTCCTGGTGGGATCTTGAGGCCTTCAACCTGATGTGGGCAGGGCCGGAGGTGGGCCGAAGCTAATGTCAAAAGGAGGGAACCAAAAGAGTCCCCGCCGGGAGCTTGGCCTCCACCTTGAAGCTCAAAGAAAATGAACTAGCGATACAGAGGCAGGCTGGGCACTGAGGGTGAAGGCGCATGCCCAGCCACAGCAGGTGCTGGGGGGGCGCGCCGACACCGCGGCCTCCCCTTTAAGAGCCGCCACCGCCCACGGCCCGCTGCTGCGGCAGGAACCTCCCCTTTAACGGCGGCAACTCCGCGCTCTGCTGACCCCGCAGCGGCTGCCGCCGCTAACTGCAGCTCCTGCTGCCTCCACCGCCGGCCTCGGGCAGCTGCATCCTCGCCCGGGCTGGGTCCCCGCCCCGCCATGGTGTCCTGGATCATCTCTCGCCTGGTGGTGTGAGTGCCGAGGCGGTAGCGGGGCTCGCCCGGTGGGGGATGAGGGGGGCCGGTGATGGAGGGCGCGGTATTCAAGCCTGGGATGGATTAGCCCAGGGTTCCTATGTGGTGTCCCCAGAGACAGAGATGTGAGACCGAAGACTGGAAGGGAGGCATTACGGGAGTATACAGGCCTGGTTTCCCAGAGACCTCACCCATATTATTTTTAAAACCCGTTTATTCTTAATTGCCTTGCTCCTGCGCCCTCCCCCATCCTAGAGGCTGAGCAGCTACTGATTTATAAGGGGAGGCGGGCACATCCCCTCCCCCACTGAGCAGATCTAGGCTGCAGGAGCCCAGCATACAAGACTTTCCTTTCCCTAGGGAAGAGAGTAAGACAGTGGGGAGCATGACAGGGGCCTCATCATTCCAGAGCTCAGATCCCAAAGCTTTCAGACCCTCCTCCTGCTTCCCCGGCTAGAGACTGGATGAGGACACCTGCCCTAGGCATCCAGGGAGGAAGGCTGGGCCTGGAAGCCGAGGTGCTGGGAGGACAAAGTGTGGGGAGGTAACAGGATGGATGTCTATTATCTGCCTAGGATTGGGGAAACATTCGGTAGCCTTGATCCCAGACACATTGTAACAGTCACATTGTGGAGCTATGGCCCTGGCACCTCCCCCGGATACAGGAAGAAATACCTCCCTCCCGCAGGAGCCTAAATGTTGGCCTTGAGGATTCTGGCCCACTATCCAGCATCAGCACGGACAGCGAGTGCCCTGGCTTAGCAACACCCACAGTTCAAGGGGCCGGGCTTCAGAGCCACCCCTTCCTCTAGTTCAGGTTCTGACCCTCAGCCTCCATCAGGACTGGCAGACCAGGAACCCCACCCTTCTCCCCAGTCAGTGTTGTCACAGGCCTGTGTCCTGGTTTCCTCTTCCCACCCGCTAGAGGCCTTATCTCTCCCGCGTGGCATTCCGGATGATTGGTTCCCTCCTGGCCTGGGCAAACTCCTTCCCTCCACCCCCACCCCCCTACTGATGTGTCCTTTTTGTAATCTACAGTGGGATGCTCAGACAGGGTCTTAACTGTACCTGACCTCAGACCATGTTGACATGGGCTTATAAACCTCTGTCTCTTTCAGGACCTCCTGAACCTGTGCCCTCTAGTCCCAAGATCACAATAGTTCTGACTGCCAGGTTGGGTGCCCTGTTAGGTGATGTTAGGTTCTCTTGGAGAATTGGTTCTGCCCAGCCTGTCTCTGAGACAAGGGAGTGGAGAGTATGAACAGATGGGTTGAGCGGGCATTAGGCCAAGAAGGAAGACATCTCATGGCAGTGACCAGCCCCCTTAACTCCCAAAACATGTCTGTGCATCGCCAAGGATTCTGGCTGAAGGGACCTCTAGCCTCTGGGTCTAGGGGAAGGGCTGGATGTGATCTTGGAGTCTTCAGTGCTCTGACCTTAGTCCTTGACTAGAGCTCCTCAGCCAGCAGATGCTTCTTTGGAGCTCTGTTCCTTTGCTCCTTAGCCCCCCAAGGGCTGATGCAGAGCTGGGAGGGAGGAGGGCCCAGTAACCATGCCTGCCTCCCTAGGCTCATCTTTGGCACCCTGTACCCAGCCTACTCTTCCTACAAGGCCGTGAAGACCAAAAACGTGAAGGAATATGTAAGTGAACAACGTTTAACAAACACGGGGGGGGGGGTGCATTTTATCACATTACAGGTTGGGGGAGACGATGGCTTCGTGCCATGCTATCCAACAAAACCCTGAGCAAAAGAGGTTCTGGGATGTTCCCTATTCTCCACCCAAGCTTGGTATGATTGACAAAGGGCCTGGGGAACTTTCTCTCAGTAGAGAGCAGGCAGCAACATGGGGTCCTGGGTTTCCTTGGCAGCCAAGGACCTTGGTGTTTACATATCCTCAGTCCTAGGCCCCATTTAATGCTGCCCTTTGCCCCCCCCCCCAGGTAAAATGGATGATGTACTGGATCGTCTTCGCCTTCTTCACCACAGCAGAGACACTCACGGATATCATACTGTCCTGGTGAGGTCCAGTGGCCGCTCCTTGTGTCTCAAGACCCAGACCCTTTTCCTTTAGAAGCCAGACAGATAGGCAGAAGGTTGGGACCCAGGCTAGAGTTACCCCAACTTCCAGCAGCCCCTGGGTGTCCTTAATACTGTTCTTAAGGCCTGATATCAGCAGAGTAAGAACAAATGTAGCAAGCCGGGCATGGTGGTCCACGCCTTTAATCCCAGCACCTGGGAGGCAGAAGCAGGTGAATCTACACAGCGAGTTCTGGGACAGCAGAGGGTACCCTAGCCCAAAAGCTTGACAGACTGTCCTCATTTCTGGTGACAGCCATAGCACCACAGTGGAATTCACCGATTTTGTGTCCACTCCTTCATCCTTGTTGGGACAGTAGACAGATCGCCAGTTCCTAAGCCATGTCTTCCCTGTTTGTGGGACACTGGATGCTCATATTTCCAAGGCATTGCACTAAGAGGCCTAAAGTATAGGAGTGTTACAGGGACGGGGAACATGTCTGAGCAAGCACCTCTTGAAGAGGACAGTCCATGGAATTTGAATCACCTGTAATCCAGGGGGCCCATAAGGTATCCCAGCCTGGCCTACGTAATCTCAGTGCAGGGGGCAGAAAGGTGGCTCAGCAGCAAAGCCCTGGCCACATAAGCCTGCTGAGCTGAGTCTGATCCCTGCAAACCAGGTAAGAGGAGGAGAGAAGCAGCCCCAGATGCTGTCTTCTGAACCCCACCCAACACACACGTGTGCTCATGCACATATCATACATGAGGAAGATTTTTTTTTTTTTTTTTGGTTTTTCGAGACAGGGTTTCGCTGTGGCTTTAGGGCCTGTCCTGGAACTAGCTCTGTAGACCAGGCTGGTCTCGAACTCACAGAGATCCACCTGCCTCTGCCTCCCGAGTGCTGGGATTAAAGGCGGAGTAAGATTTTTTTTTTTAAAGATTTATTATGTATAGTGTTCTGTCTGCATGTATGCCTGCAGGCCAGAAGAGGGCACCAGATCTCATTACAGATAGCTGTGAGCCACCTTGTGGGTACTGGAA